TCTCTCTCTCTCTCTCTCTCTCTCTCTCTCTCTCTCTCCCCCTCTCTCTCCCTCTCTCTCTCTCTCTGTTTGTGAACCATTGACTTCTCATCTTGGCAAGGTAAAGGACGCTGTGCTATCTATCTCACATGGCTCTGAACTGTGTGGACATGCCTGGCAGTAAGACATCGGTTGCATCAACTTCGACACCCTGATCTCCTACATCCTCTTTTGAGATGATGATGAGGCTGGAGGACTCCCAGGGTGATGATCGGAGGAAGGGGACAATCATCAGGTTGCACGGAGTGGGGGCGCAGGGCGGGATCCTGTTCTGGAAAGATCATGGATGGTAGTGACGATTGGGAGTTGCGGGATATCAGGATGATGATGGGGATGAGGCTGAAGAGGCATCAGGATTGCGATCGGGAGGGCTGGGCAATCAGTCAATCAATCGATTGATCAGTTGATCAAAAGATCAACCAGCCGTTGATGCTGCTGCTTCATCTGTTGATCCATCAATTGATTGTTTGATGGTTTGATTGATTGGTTGGTTGGTTGGTCGATTGGTTGATTGGTATACTGATTGTTGTCTGTCCTCCTGTGGTTGGATTGTATAGTCAATTGCTGATCAGAGGCATGGAAATCTTCCACCAAACAAAATGTACAGGGGGTACGTTGACATCATGACCAGAATGGACAACAAGATTGGATGTTGCGGGAGATCAGGATGATGATGGGACGAGGCTGAAGAGGCATCAGGATTGTGATCGGGAGGGCTGGGCAATCGATCAATCAATCGATTGATCAGTTGATCAAAAGATCAACCGGCCGTTGATGCTGCTGCTTCATCTGTTGATCCAACAATTGATTGTTTGATTGTTTGATTGTTTGATTGATTTGTTGGTTGGTTGGTCAATTGGTTGATTGGTAGACTGATTGTTGTCTGTTCTCCTGTGGTTGGATCGTATAGGCAATTGCTGATCAGAGGCATGGAAATCTTCCACCGAACAAAATGTACAGGGGGGAGGTTGACATCATGACCAGAATGGACAACAAGATCGGATGATAATCGGAGGAAGGGGATGCTCGGCAGGTTGATTGGTTGATTGGTCGTTCTCCATCCTCCTGTGGTAGATCAGGGCGATGATCGAAGGAAGGGAACGATCAGCAGCGTGCACCAGGTGGAGACTGACCATGGGATTCCACTGTGGGAGGATGATGGATGGTAGTAGTGATTGGGAGCAGGAAAATATCTGGATGATGACAGCGGGTGAGGGGGAAGGTGAATCAGGATTGCGATTGAGAGGACTGGGTTTGCAAATGAGGGGGGGAAAAAAGGGTAGATTTGCCCCCTTCTCTGTCTCTACGGTTTAGGACGGTCTGAGATGGTGCGGGGGAGATGGCAATGATGATTGGGATGATGGATCAGACGAGGGTGATGATTGGGGGTAGGACACAGTGAGCAGGCTGCTGCGCGGATGGGGATCCTCTGGTGGCAGGGAGAGCAGCAGGAGCTTCAGAAGAGCCATAACGGGACGAGACAATTGATATCCACTGAGGTGGCAAATACAGACTGACCAAGACTTACATATCTCCCTCTCTCTATTTTGTTGATGGGGCATGCCTGTCTTTGTTTATTGTCTGTGTGCGTGCAAGAGAGAGAGAGAGAGAGAGAGAGAGAGAGAGAGAGAGAGAGAGAGAGAGAGAGAGAGAGAGAGAGAGAGAGAGAGAGAGAGANAGAGAGAGAGAGAGAGAGAGAGAGAGAGAGAGAGAGAGAGAGAGAGGAAAGGACATCCACGCGCTCATCAGACAGTGTCTAGGCTGTTGCTCGTAGTACGCACCCCCAGAAAGGAATCTCCTCGCCCATTCAACTGACAGTTCAAATAATAGATAGATAGTTGCCCCTGCCTCCTCGCTACGTCCATTTTCCCCCTCACATAGACCACAAAAGATGTGCTGCCAACCTTAGTCCTGAGAGGCCTTCTGGTACACGTACGTGAGACCGCACTTGCGGCAGTAGTGTCGATCAAAATGGTTGGCCATGAAAGTTCCCGGCCCGCATTCCGGATTCAGACACTGCTTCCGAAGGCGAGTGACCTTCCCTGTGTCATCAATCTTATAGAACTGAAAGGTGGGAAGCTTGACCTTCTTCTTGTGCTTGATCTTCTTCGGCTTCGTGTAGGTCTTCTTCTTTCTTTTCTTCGCTCCGGCGCGAAGCCTTAACACAAGATGCAGAGTCGACTCCTTCTGGATGTCGTAGTCCGCAAGAGTGCGTCCATCCTCAAGCTGCTTCCCCACAAAAATCTACCTCTGCTGATCGGAATATTAACATACATCCATGACAAAAGTTTTGGACCCCATATACGCTCAATCACCTCCTTGCATGGCAGAGCGCTAGTTCTGAATGCCTCCATATACTCGATGATGTGGTACGTTGCAGCCTTCTGGACCCCAGACCAAAAAGCCCTAAAGGATCTTCAAAAGAAAGCAACAGCTTACCTCTGGACAGGGGACGCCTCAAGACAAAACTTCATCACAAAGGTCATGTAACAAGAAAGAAGAGCCAAGGAGGTCTAGGTGTCCTAGACCCGGCGAACCAAATAAAAGCTCTCCAA